TATTTGAATTTACCTGTACACTTTATTTTCTTCTGCCCAGAAGGAATAATTACCCTGAATGTGCTTAAAGATGAGTTTCTTTAAGAGCTTTACAGGTTCAGCCTTTGCATTTAGGTCTCTGAGCCGTTAACTTTTGTGTGTGGCTTAATTAGCTTTCCCGTCCCTAGGACCCAACACTCCGCACCGTAAGGAGGCGGGGCTGGTTCCCCCGCACCGACGGCCAGCTGCAAGGCGCTCAGCAAGGCAGAGGGCCTGGGCGCGCTGGGAAGGGCAGGAGCACAGTCTTCCAGGTCACATCTCTGGTGACCTCCTTTTCCACCTCCTAATACCACATTCAGCTACCAGACTCAACCACGCACGGATCTATAGATGTACATGGCAGCCCCACGACCCATACCCATAAGGCTTTGGGAAAAATTTTAGTTCTAAACTCTAAAATGGTGTGAGGTAGCGATCCAACTCCCTTCCTTTCCATTTGGACATTCAGTTGTCCCAGCACCCTCGCCGCTTTCTTGAGACAGGGTCTCTCTGTGTAGCCCAGGCTGGCCTCAAACTCTTGGTGATCCTCCTGCCTCAGCCTCTTGAGTGCTGGGATCACAGGTGTGCCCACCACACCCCCTCTGTTGAAGAGATTCTTTGCATGGTCCTGACATGATTATCAAATCACGTGGCTGTAGATCTGTGGGTTTAACTTTGGATTCTCATTCCTGTCCCACTCTGTGATAGCAGTAGCAATGTGTTTTAATGGCCATAGCTCTGTAGTAAGTTTAGACATTGGGAAGCATGAGTCTTCAAACTTGGTTAGTTTTTCAGTTATTTGGATTATCTGGATTCTCTTGCAATCCATGTAAATTTGAGGGTTGGCTTTTCCATTTCTAGGGGAAAATTGCCATTGTATTTTGGCAGGGATCACACTGAACCATAAATGTGTGGTAGTATTGATATATAGATACGTATTTTTTGCTTATATATTTACTCTCAGCTAACAAATGTATGTTTTGTATGTCTTTAAATGTTCAGTCATGGAATTATACTATAAATTTTTCTTGAGCCTACCTGTTTTCCTCAGTGTTTTTTTGTTTTTTTTTTTTTTTTGTCTTTTTGAGACAGGGTCTCATTATGCAGTTCAGGCTGGTCTTGAACTATATAGCCAAGGCTGGCCTCAAACTCAAAACAAGCCTTCTGCCTCAGCCTCCCGAGTGTTGGGATTACAGGAGTGTGCCACCACACCCAACTTCTTCAGTGTACTTCTGAACTTCATCCATAGTGCGGTGCTTAAAATTCAAGTTCAAATTCCTTTGTGTTCATGGCTGTATAGTATTCCCTGGCATGGCTACATCACACACAGTTCTTTACAGATCCACCTGCTAATGGACATATACATCCGCTCCAATTTTTAAAATGACAACTAAGGCCACTATGGGAAAATGTAGGATCTTTCCTTGGACACCTCTGCCAGTGTCTCTGAATGGTATATCTGCGAAGCCACAGTTTGATCAAAAAGTACAGACATCCCCAGTTTATTGGAGATGGGCTGTGTGCTCCCATATTACGACTTCATCCTCATTCTAACGCAAGGAGTAGAGTGTCTAAGGTGGAAGCATCCGCCACTTCCTTTACTCCTTCACTATGGAGCTGGAACATCTTCTCATGGGATGCTAGGTTGGCAATGCTAGACTTCTCTTGGGTTCTGACATAAAGCAGGGTGCTTGTTAAATTCTGTGGTTGGGTTTCTCTGGGCACTTGGGGCTTCTGTTTTTTGGCTTTTTGAGACAAGGTCTCGCTATATAGTGCAGGCTGACCTTGAGCTCACTTTGTAGCCCAGGCAGGCCTTGAACTCACAATGATCCTCCTGCCTCAGCTTCCTGAGTGCGGACATTACAGGCGTGTGCCACCACACCTGGTGGGACTGTGTCTTTTATCCCTCTACAACCTAATATAGCCCACTACAGACACAATTATATTTTCATTGCAGATGAGGCAAAACTCAGCAGGTGAGGTGACCCACGCCTATCACCCCAGCTCTCAGGAGGCTGAGGCAGAAGTGCCATGAGTTCAAGGCCAGCCTGGACTGCATCGTGAGACCCTGTGTCAGAAAACAAAACAAAACCCCCCAAATTGCGGCAGTATGGATTTGAGGAGCTAAAGGTCATCACGGGTGTGTAATTTCACCGCACTGTGAGTGGTGTGGGCAGCTGTGTGCCGACTTTCCCCTGTAGGCTGACATAGGCATGGTTCCACTAAACACAGCCTGGACAGGGTGTTCTTTCCTGATTTGCATTAAATGAGGTTGTAAGCCAAGCAGGCAGTAAGTGCTCAATAAACGAGGGTTTTATATACCGGTGGCACATGCAAGACAACGTGGGGGGCAGTCTTGGGCATGTCTGTGAAGCAGGTGCGTCCTCTTCCAGGCTGCCTTCAGGTTAGTCCCCACCTGCTGTCACCTCCCTGTACCACAGGTGCCAGCATTCCAAGAGCTGAAGGTCATACAAGTCACAATAACACTCCCTGCCTGCTTCTAGTCAGGTGGGCAAAGTGGAGCCCGTTTAGATACTTCAGCCTGGTGGGCTTGGAATTAGCTAGAGGGATGGACATGACACTTGGACAGTCCAGAAAAGGGAAATAAAAAGTAACTTCTTATATGGGCTTTTTGTACTGGCCCTTGAGGGCTAAGTAGGAGTTCCCTGGGCTAAATATCCTGTTGGTAAAGTCTTGGATTCACAAGGAACAGGCTCAGATCCCCCTCAGTTCATGAGCACTTCTGCTTGTGAACAACTGGGTTTGCAAACAGAAGTGTTGGAAAAAATTTTTCTTCTGAGAATGCTGCATCTGGTGACAAATGCGACTACAGCCATCTTCTCCAGTAGCGGAACAAATTGTGAACTGACTCACTACTGCCTGTCTTTTTTTTCTGGGGGGTTGAACTTGTGGGCACTGAAGGTCTTGCTAAATTGCCCAGGCTGGCCTCAAACTTGGGATCCTCCTGCCTCAGCCTTGTGGTACCTGGGATGATGTGTGCCCCATTGTGCCTGATTCTTTTCTGTCTCTTTGTGCCCGGCATATCTCTAAGCGGCTTCCACAGGACTATCTTTTCTTCTCTTCATGGCCCCCCTTCCCACTGTCCCAGGGGAGTGCGAGGGAGGCTGCCCACGCCAGCTCTGCTAGCCTGCACTGCCCCTCCCGCTTGAGTTGGCTCCATCCCTCCTCAGTACTTGTCTTGAAAAAGCCGGGCGCGGTGGCGCACACCCGTGATCCCAGCACTGGAGAGGCTGAGGCAGAAGGGCCTTTAAGTTCGAGCTCAGCCTGAGCAACCTAGCAACTTAGGGGAGGCCCTGTCTCAAAATGTAAAATAAAAAGGGCTGGGGGTGAGGCTCAGCGCAAAGGCCCTGGGCTCCAATGCCAGCGCTGCAAAAAGAAACAAGAATAAAAGCGGTGAGAATTCTTCAGCGAGCCTCCCCTGCTTTTCTGCTGCTGTTCCACACCCGCTCCTCTCTCTGGACTGCTGCCTAGGATTCGGCTCCTGCCGCTGTTCTGTTTCAGATTTTGGGGACGGGAAAGGACTTCAGAGACGCCGGTTCCTTCCGACTTTCATCTGCTCCTCCTCCGTTTGGGTTTATTCTCCTCTTCAGAGCTATTTGAATGGAACCTGGGCTCATTTTTTAAACTTTTTTTTGGGGGGGGGGACCTTTTTGAGGCAGGCTCTCCCTATGGAGGTCCAGGCTGGCCTCGAACTCGCAGGGACCCTCCCCGCCGCCTCCTGGGGGCTGGGGTGACAGGCACGCGCCGCCAGGCCCGGCTTCAGTTCACTTATTTTCAAAATGAAAGCTAGTACAAGCGTGTGAACGGCCCTCCGCGCACGCCTTCGGCCACACCCCGGCGCTCCATCTCGTCCCCTTCGGGTGGCCGGTGTTTGTGTCAGTGGAGAGGCGGGACCTCACTAGGCGTCCCAAGTCGCCCGGGCTGGGCTCAGACTTGGGAGCCGCGGGGCCCGGGGCCGGGCGACAGGCGAGGCCGCTTCCCCGCTCGGGGCTGC